CTGGTGCTGCTGGCAAGTGGGAGCAGGATCTGGTGGTGGATGAGCAACTCCACACAGATCCTCTCAAGCAGAACTGACAGCTACTGAAGATCTTTATTTACCTTTAAATCTTGCTCTTAATAGAACAATAAAAGCAAACAAAATAATGGAAATATGTTTAGTTCAGAGGAGAATTTAAGAGTTATTTTTAATTTGGCTTTTTATTAAGCCGGACACCCTTTCCTAGAGTTGCCAAGTAATCCAAGTAATCCAGAGACACACTGCTCCTTTTGGACTCCACCCCTTCCTCCCCCAGCAGCCATAAGAAGACCCACACCAACACGTACCTGCAGCCCAGCACCACGTTTGCAGTCTCTGCCTCATCCTCACCCGCCTGCCCCCTTCACAGAAAGGAACAGAAGGCAACATGGGACAGGAAGACACAGAAAGCAGCACCAAAAGAGAAGGGCTGAGACCAAGTGCTGTGTCTTTCTGAGGCAAGCTCCAGCTCCATGCATGTGCAAGTCAGGGGCTTTAGCAACCAGCCTCCCCTCACTAAATTCCCTTTCATGAATTTACTTAACTGTAGGTAGCTTTTCAGTATTTGCAGCATTCTTTGGGAGAATTTAAGGTAAATCCATTCAAATGCTGTGTGAAGAACTAAGATTCAGAATTCACATTCACAAAAACCCGGACGGTGCAAAGATTCTGAAGATCTGCCCTCATGCAATCCGCTCCACACGAGGCAGCGCTGCTCTGCAAGCTGTAGCTTATCATTCACAGACAACGTGGCAGCAGTGTTCAGGAAGAAAAAAACACTTTTTCACATTTGAAATTGCAACTAAAACGTCTAAAATTATTTTTATTTTACACGTTCAAACAAAAATAAAAACTCAGTGATTGCAGCAAGGAAGCAGGTAACTGAAGGAAGCACAGTGCCCCTCAGTGCACTGCTGCTGGTAGAAGCCTGCAGCTTCACCCTCAGCCTAAAAAGGAAAGAACACAACCTCAAATCTCTGAGAACAAAAGGCAACACGCCTAAGCTGTTGGCTTATGCCGTGCATTGTTAGCCTTACATGCAAGAAGGAGAAAGGAATTACAAGCAGATGTGCAAGAAAAATATCTTTCTGCTTTCTCTCTAATACAAGGATTACAGAGGCCTGATTTTAGCAACAGTTTCTGGTTCTTTAAGTGTCCGCTCCACGCTACAGCCAGTGACATTTTTTTAGAGGGCAGTGGCAAGACTTGCCCAGCAGCTGCACCGCTCCCAGCAGGACTTCATCTTACTCTTCTTCTCACATAACTGATTCAGGCCAGACTTGTAACTGACCTCTCCTTTAGCAGCACTGGCAGTGAAATGCTTATCTCCAGCTGTCTGGCCACGTTTAAGCACGTGCCTGAAGGAAGCTGCACACTTTCTGTTCTTCCTCACTACCATAGAAAAACGGTAAGATGGAAAACAACACAATTTCTAATTACTAATATGTCTATACGTGCCAATTCTACACAACCAGGCTTACTACTAAACAAATATTGTTAATGAGCAGATGCTCATGCTGCTCTCTATGTATTTAGAAGTCTCAGTCATGTTCCCAACACACACCAACATCTGAGCTCACCTTTCTCAATTTCTACACTCCTAAAGCCCAAATTTTCTCATCCACTCTGCTTCTCACCTCCCCTTTCTCAGAGCGGAGAGCCAAGAATTCACCCTACAAAGAGTAAGCTGTAATCCTGGAGCAAGCTGTATCTGGAGGGCCTCGCTGGGGCTTCTGAAAGCAACACTCAAATGCCCAGAGAAGCATGCATCTGAGTGGAAACAACGTGCTGGAGGTGCTGGGACTGGGCGTGCTGAGCCCTGGGCAGCGCTCCTCACCTGCAGCCATGCGCCTTAATGGCATGCAGACAAGGGGAAAACTCTTGCTAGAATGTATCAGACAGGAATTTTACAAATACTACTCAGGACGTGATAGAAAATTAGATCACTAGGTTTCCATACTTACAAAAAAAGGTACAAGCACTAATCTCTTCTTTATTTTTTTAATTTAGAAACTAATTAAAGCACTCACCGCTCAAATCATTTCATAGTTTCTCTGCTGGCCTTGAAAAGTCCTCCAAACACTTCTAGCAAGTAGAACTGAGCACTCCATTCTTGTATACATTGATTTTTATTACTTGCTGTTTCCATTAAGGCAATTTCTGCTTGGAACACTGAGCTCTCTGCTGTTCGACAGGGCCATGTGTTTAGGAGAAGATTATACTGCACAGCTTGGCAAGGAAAGCAGCACTGCAGAGAGATCAGTACCAACTGCATTTCAGTGCATATTTCATATCCTTTTTTTTTATACTGCTGGTAAATATCACAATAAAACTCCCAGAGAAAAGCAGACTTCTCCAGTGAATTTGCTGCAGTTATTTTAACACACGATGCCCTGACAACCTTCCAATGCCACCCAGCACAGAGGATGAGAGCCAAGGCCACTGTAAAAGCACTGACCGCCAGAAAAGCAATCTCCAACTGATGTATTCATGGAACTTCTGGAACAGAACCCAGACCAAAGCAGGCTTTGGGGAGAAAATGCTCATTTGAAGGATTTCTCATTTTTTCAAGTATCTCCTAAGGCAGCACTATTTCTGACAGCCCATCCCTGCTGCTCTGATGAAGGAACCAGAAGTCTGAAAGATTAACAGAAACAGAAAATCTGAAGGAGAGCATAAAGAAGAGTGCAAAGAATCTGTTCACTCTTCCTCCCTCAACAACACACTTCTATTTTCTCATCCTTCACCTTCACCCACAGTGTATTGTCCTTTTTCATGCTCTCCTTTCCCACCACCATATTGTTCTATAGCCATTACTGTTAAATTTAGCAACTGAAGCAAATGCCCTTTCATGCTGTTTTCCTCTGCCTTTGCCAAGCTCAACCAAAGCCTTTGTTCTCTTGAAGTGAGGCCACAAATATGATCTGCTTGCTGGCAGCTTCCTGCCCTAATTCCGCCCAGTTGAACTCCAGTGGAACATGAGGCTCAAATGACAACTGCATTGGCAATTTCCTTCACAACATAAAATGAAAACTACCAGTTTCAACTGTGTTGAACTGGTTTAAGCTGCAAACAAAGCAGTGGGCATTAAATACTTGATTAATCAAGCTTAATTACAACTATCAATCAATCATTTGCTTAACTGCAACTATGATTGCTTTCTGCTGCACATACAAGGTCGGATATTGTTACAAATGATTTACAGATGCTAAACTAAACGCCTGCTCAAAAGCCTGCGAGTCTTTAAGGGCAAGAAACACTGGGGACAATGGGTACATTAGGAGTTTTCTTATTTCACAGAAACTATGGAGCACTGCCCTTCGACTTGCTGAGGACCACCCCCAGCACTCTCACCTGCTGCACTCTGAACCCACTTGTGTTGGTTGGTAAGGACCCCCATTTGTTCCTTACAGCCAGCTCTCCCAAGGGAAATGTGCCTTACGGCACCACTCAGCAGTGAAGATGCTGATATGAAGCACCAATGACAGTTCCTGCTCTTCTGCTCTTACTGCACACCTTTTTTCACTTAAAGTTGTTCTGCATCATTCACTAGCTTTTTAGAAATTCATACATTTCTTTTGTAACTGAAGAGTAATAATGAGGCAGGGCTACACTACGGAGACCCTCTCCTCCCCCTCCGTTTTTCAGAAAATAAGTAGAAAAAAGAACATTTAAAAAAGTTTTGAGAATAATTTGTTCTTCCAAAAGACCATTAACACCATCTAGACTTAATCTGGCCATGAGTATACAATCACTGGACAGGAAAAAATCCTTGCTTTTTAGAACAACTAGAGGCAATGGGCCTGTTTTACTTCTGGCTGTTAAAACAGAATTCATGGCCCATTAAAATTTCACTTATGTCTTATTTTTCTCAGCAATCTAGTGTATAAATGATGTTATTTAAACATAAAAGTGTTATCAACGTTATATAGAGAAGTACGAGTGAGACAAAAGCTCTATTAGAGATAAGGTCAGCACTCAGCTTTGCAAGAATAACTCCCACAGAAGTCAGCAGCAGCGGGCCCCCAACAAGAGACACTCCGTGTTTCGCACAAATGCAAAATCTAAGTACACATTTTTTTTTCCACACCAGCAGAAAATCTAGTAGCAGGATTCGAAGGCAGACATCTGCTTGGAATTACTCAGGTGCACACAGCCCTCTGCCGAGGGAAAGGATCGCTGTACCACACAAGTGGAAGGGGACTCAGAGAGCCCCGGTTCCAACCCCTGCCATGGGCTGGGCTGCCACCCACTGAGCAACAGCCATACAGTGGGGGAGAACACTGGGAACCAGGACACAGAATGTTCAAAACAAAGCTGCACCCACAGAGGGTTTTAAACTTTTGTTTTAAAAAACTAAAGCTTTTTTTAAATCTCTTTACCTCACCGTTGTGATAAATTCTACCTTTTCAGTAAGATAAAAAGTAGCAGCTGATGAACAGCGATACATTTCACCCAGAGCTCCAGATGGCACAAATAAGGAACCCGTGTGTTTCTAACAAGGCCCCTGGGAACTCACAGCTTTCTGTTACTGTGCGTCCAACTCCCCGTCAGGAAAGCCCTGACCGCCAGCACTGGTCACTGGTACTGACAGATAAGTGGGAGAAATGAAAACAGAAAAGAAGAGATACCAAACAAGCCGAAAAACCTCAGCACCTTCACTCCCAGGCCACAGGTTTCAGGAACGCCTCCTGCAGGTTTTCTGCCCCAACTTCGCACCCTCCTTGCCGCTGAGGCAGGCGCACAACGACGCGCAGCTTCGGCCCGGCTCCGTCCCGCCATATCATATCGTCCCGCCGTCCGCCAGCCGCGGCGCTCACTGCGGCCCCGGGCAGCGCGGCTTCGCAGCACAGAGGGAAAACAGCGATCTGCCGCAGGGCTCCAGTTCTACCTGTGCTTTTTACTTCAAACGTGAAGAACGCACGTGGCAGAACCACGACAATTGTATTACGTATGTTTTTAAAGCCGAGTTGAGCACTTACAGAAACGAGCCTCAGCACTTGCAGCACCAGGCGCGGCGTTCCCCGGCCCGGCTCCGCGCTCGTTCCGCCGGGCCGCACGTCCGCTTCCACTCGGCGCCGCGGCCCGGCTCCCCGCGGACACCGCCGGAGCTCCTAACGGCCGCAGCGCGCGCCCACAGCTGAGGCGGAGCCACGCGCCGCTGCGCGGCCGTTTGGGCGCCGAAGCCGCGAGGCAGCGGGGCCGCTCCGCCCGCGGAGGGCAGAAGCGCGGGGCGGGACGGCGTGTCGGAGCCGAAGGAAGGAGCACGCGCTTTTCCACGCGGCAGAACCGCTCCTTCGGCGCGGCGGAAGCGGCTGCGAGAACGGCAGAAGGTTCCAGAAGCAGACGCGGCTCCGTGCTGGGGCAGCCCTGCGCCCCGCCGCTGCTGCGGGTCTGCTCAATAAACCGCGCCACGCCAGTTCGTCTTGAATTAACTTTATTTTTCCAAATAATAAAAAATAAATTAGTCATAAACAAAAATAGTTAACACTTTTTCATCAGAGAAAATGTATACAGTATGAAATGGATGCTGTACAGGTCTGGTTCAGGTGCATTGCCACGGATACGTTTTCCTGAACGAGTCAGAAAGCAATCTGCCTATCCTCCCTGCAATTCACTCAGGAACGGGCTGATCAGAAAGTTTAGAAAATTATATTATCGATTTACAGTATGACATATATACAAAAATACATATGTAATACTTGTGCTATAAAATTCCATAAAAGCTGGGTCAGTATAATGAGAGAGCTGGACGAAAGGTGAACAGTATATGTAAATAAATACATATTAGGTCCCTTTTAATAAACATCTGCATATTCTAAATATTTGAAGCATTTTGGTGCGGTAGCCGGTTCCGTACACACAGCTCAGAATACAAATCTCCCATAGACATCTTGTATTTACAAATAACAACAAAATAAGTTATAATAAAGTATATCCTTCTTCTGCCAAAATCAATTATCAGGGTCAAGTAGAAATAAATTTTTTTTTATATAAAAATGTTATGTTTTTTTGTCCCTCATAGCGTTAGGTTTACTGATCGTGCAGGTAAGGAAGGCTTCAGAGCCCCCCAGTCCTTGCAGCCCAAGCGTGGGCTTTACAAGCTTGCACCTACCCACCCCTGCCAAGACCACTGCAGGACCGCGTCTCACCAGATCCCAACACAACGCAGACAAAACAGGCCAAGCAGTAAGGAGGGTGGTCACTGCAAGGTGACTGATTGCTCAAAAGCAAGCTCTTCTCCAAATACATTGGTAATTTGATTTATAATCCATTAAAGTGAGTTGGGATACAGAAGACTGGAAAGTTGCATTCTTAACTTCTCACTGCTAAAAGCTGATAAGCAAAGATCCAAGTTCAGTCTGGTGTGAGCTCAATTTAAGTTTTCTTCCTTTCTCCAGGCCTGAATTTCACCCACACTATTAAGATAATGCTGATAACTTTGCTTTAAGGTATACTAAATATATGAAAATGATTATTAACTGATTTTTCGCTTCAGATGTAGAACGTACAATGTCACTGCGTTTACTAAACAACGTAGTTCCCACAAACATATTCGGTATGCGATGTTAGGAATATAGGATGCTTATTTCCGTGTTCAGAATTTCAAGTTTTGTGTTTCAAACACAAAAGGAAGCTCCACAGAGCACAATGTACTACTTATGGATGTACAGATTAGTAAGAGTGAAGGCAAGATACTCCTTCAAGAAGGCATAATCTCCATAGCTAGGTAGAAGTTCTACTAGCCATGAGCTGCTTCCAGCACCTACCTGCTCCTTCCTCCCTCTGTGATGACCACTGACACTTTCAACCATGGCTGCTCCAAAAGTAATCCTCCTATTTTATAATCTTGGCCCATGACATCAGAGGTGGATGTTAGTGGAATGGCAGTAGAGGGTGAAGGTTCCTATCACTGTTCCATTACATTTTGGTGCTTTGCCACAGATGGCAGCAGAGGGGCAGCCTGACAAAGTGTCATCTGACATGGAAGTGCATATGAAGCAAAGGTGTGGAATTGAATTCCTCCATGCAGAAAAAATGGCACCCACTGACATTCACAGACATTTGTTGAATGTTTATGGAGACCAAACAGTGGATGTGAGCGTAGTGAGGCAGTGGGTGGTTCTTTTCAGCAGCAGTGACAGTGATCTGAAAGACAAGGCATATTCTGGATGGCCATGCACAGCTGTCACACCACAAAACAAAGAGCATCTCCATCAGCTCATCCACATAAATTGGCTAATGATGGTTACTATGCTGAAAAGGAGTGTTTTGTAGCTGATAATATGCTCTATCAATTAGTTATTATGTTCTTTGTAACTGTTGTAGTTTCCATTAACATAAATAGGAGGCATTACTTTCAGAGCAACCTACTAGGACTCGGGCATACATAAAGTAAGCAGCACAGTTTTGCCAATATTGCTGCTCCGTACAGTCTTCTGTTCTATAACTTTCATGTACTTACCAGAGTCAGGGCTACACTGACCACTTTTATCAAGTCTAGGTGAACAAACATGCTAGAATCCCTCTTTGCATTAACACATCATTAACTCAGCATGTTCTGCAACACATTCTGCTTTTTCTTTGCAGAATGAACCAATTCTGAACTGCACGATATTATGATAAAAGTCAGATCTAACCAACAACACTGATGTTAAGCACTGCTTCATTCATACAGAAAGTTCTCAATTTGCTGATTCACTCAAGCATTGGGGAAAAGAAGAAAAAAGATTATGTATGTAATGAGGAAGACACTAGTTCCCTGTGCAGGGATACTGGGGTAGTCCTACATAAAGTCAGAGAGCAAAAACACTTTAAGAGTAGTTGGCTTGCAAGAACACTCACATCTTTCTCACTGCACTTCCCAGGACTCTACTGCCAGACACAGGGTCATTCCCACAGGAGGAAACCTCACGCTTCCACACTACACACCATCTCAGTTTCTCAGCTACTGAGAGGGAAAACTCCATAAATTCAACCCTGCTAGTAAGTGTTGTCAAACGTAGCATGCAACTGCTATACACAACCAATTCCACTTGCACATACTTAGACTTGGCACTGAGTAGAAGGTAACAAACCACGATGGACCCCCCATAACAATAAATAACTGCACAAACAGTCTTCAATTCTAGGAAGAGAGTGCTTGAGACACAGAACCTGCTCTACATGGAGCTGATTCTGTCCAGATGCATGTCTGGAAGATATGAAAGCAGTATGCCTTTTTTTTTTTTTTCCTTACAAACAGTTACACCAATTAAACTCTATACTAATCAATAACCTAGCACTTACTCTGGTATTCCTGGATTGTATAAAGTAAAAATCTGTAAGGTAAGGAAGCATTTTTTCAATTTTTTTCCTGAGGGATTTTGATTTATTTTAAAATACCAGTAAAAGGAAATATAAACAATCACAGAAGCCTGAATCAATTTTTACTTATATTTGTTTTAAACTTGATCTAACTTTACTGCATCCATGAAGGTCAACTGTCATTTATGGTAAAATCATAAAAGTAACATCAGGCCCCTGTGGGCATCATCCTAAGACAGTACACTGCTCTATTGAAGCAAATGCTATAGTCACAATTTCAAAAATGCACTTTGTGTGACAGTGGAATATTAGCATAGCACTTGCTTTGTGTAGGTAATATTAGTTCTACAGCAAACTGCTGAAAGAAGAGTCTGATAGTTCATATTTCAGGAACGAGTATTTTGATTATACTGAAATATGAGAAGAGATGATAAATGATCAAGTTAAGCAAAATTTTAGCAGTGTCCATATCACCAGATGTTCAATTAGGTGATGCAGTCTTTTTTAACTGGTACACCTGAAATCTGTCCTTTAACTAAAAAAAAACAAACAAACAACACTCATGTATAATTTGTATAAAGATAATTCACTGCATTCAATTCACAAAGCTCTACAGCTTAGGACTAATACAGGATTATATCACTACATATATATTTTTTTATATTTAGCTCCCATTCATTGTTTACTTTAGTGGCAGCTTAATGATGATAATCCTTGTAAAATAACCCAATTGTCATATATTCCAGAGCATAACAACAGATTTTATGAAAGACCGGGATCACCTGCCTGCTTCCTGACTTGCCTTCTCACAGCCAAGAGTATGTGCAAGCAGATTATTGTCTATGAATCGTTTGCAAACCTGATTACTTCCACTTATTTCATTCTCACTGTAGTTTTCAGTAATTCTTTTTATCGAACAAATATTTTCCTCAAGCTGACAGGATACACTTCCTTGACACAAAAGAGATAACAGCAAAAATTATATACTGTATGTCAAGATCTGCTGCAATGAAACACTGAGATGAAAACTTATATTTGCAAATATTGGATTCCAGAACTACTATACTGCACTTTCTCCATTTCAGTCTTTGGTCAATAATCTAATGAATATAATATGATCGCTAATCTTTAAGTTATCCTCATGGATAGATTTTCATAATACAAAGAAACAGAACTGCAAAAGCTTTGTGAGATCATATTAAAAGTTTTCTAATTAGCACATCTGTTTCTAGAGACTTTATGTCAACTAATCATAGTGAAAAAGCCCAAGACATGGCATACAGAAACATCCAATGACATTAATGGTTCATAATCACAAACAGAAACTTCAAAGTTCAGGGGAAACACTTCTTAATACTTCATTGTGGCTGAAATACATTCTTCATAAGTGACTGAATCAAAATATCTATGGTTTGTGTCAGTCCAATGCAGCTTTTAGACTAGAGGAGTTCGACCTTCCTGTGCTCAGTTTCCAGCACACGAACTGGTGCAACTAGTAGCACAGCAGTAACCTTTGCCTCCCAGTGCCCATTCTTCATCATCATCTCTGCCCGAGTGGTAAGAAGAAAATAAAAACAGATGCATATTTACAGGTGGATCATCTAGGATGGGCTCTGATACAAATCCTAAATGAGGTTCAAATATGCCTCTTAATCAGTAGCAGGACCCCTTAATCACTGTACTGTCACATCACTGGGAGAGGCTTATCACATTATTAGAACTGTTTCTCAATTCAGGCCGCAGGCACCTTAAAATAGATGTGCAGCTGGATATCACTGTTTTGAAAGCAGTAACCAGTTGAATGAGCAGA